ACTTTACTTACCAAATCAGCCAAGTCATTCAAAGCAGTTGTATAAGTAAGCAAGCCTTTTTTATATTTTCTATTTATCTTTTCTGTCAATATTTCGTTACTTTCAAATATTGCCATTCTCAAATTGTTCTCGCTTTTATCATAATGTTTTCCTACAAATAGAGAAAATTATTCGACAATAATTTTAATATTTCGAATAAAAGTTTTCAGTTTCAGGAAAAGATAAAAATGAAGGAGAACTGTACCGAGAGAGGTCTTGTAGTCCTTCCATTCCGTTTCCAATTTCACCATCGTTTGCACATCGCCATTCTCTTCCATTTTCTTCAGGAATTCTTGCAGAACGGTTGATGATTTTCTGTTGAAGGTGACAATTTATTTTCCGTAGATTCATCCATTTATTTTTATGAACGAAAAATTAAAGTTGATTACAGAAAACTATCATAAAAATAATTCAAAATTCATGAAAGTTATTGTCACACGTCTGAGATGCGTTATTCGACGGGTGCCAATCGTCATCAATCAGATAGTACTCTGTGAGGTAATGTTGTACTTATCTAAAAAATCTTTATCTTTTTTTATTAAATTAATAGTTCTGTGGCTGTGTGGGAAAATTTTGGTGTCTTCCTTATTAAGCACAGTTTAACAGAGCTTGTCTCATTTAATGCAAGCTTAATTTGCAACACACTGCATAAGATGGCCAAATTTATTGCAGAGCTGATCTCCTGGACAGGTAGGACAAAAAATTGCTGAAACTTAAAATTATTGCGCTAGTAAATCGCATTTCATCTTCCTTCACACTCAGTAGTTGTTTCGCATTGTCCGTTAAGCTCGATTGCATCATTTTAAACACAGTAAATTTGACCTCAATTTTTTCGATATTTTGTTTCGATGTAATAAAAGTATGCTAGAAATTTCGATGTTAGTGCAAATTTTCTTGCAAATTTTCCTTTGGTAATATATATTTTTTCAAATTTGTATAGTTTTTTACAGTGACACAATTTTACGGTAACTTTTTAACTGAAAAATAAAGCTAATTATATAATTTAAGATTTAATGCGATTTTAATTTAACATTAATGACTTTTAATTCCATAATGTTTCCGATCTATGAGATCAACCCATGAAAAATTAGTTTGCTCACTGGTTCACAGTTTCAAATAAAGATATTTTGTAAAATATTCAATTTTTTCCAAAAAATTTTAGCATTTAAATATTTTGTCAAATATAAGCCAACAGCAAATAGTTACAAAGGGAAATTTCATTACTAATGGAAATATCGACTTCAAATCAGAACGATTTTTGAAAGAAGTCAAAATTGAAATATAATTGATATATTTCTCCTTTTTTCTACCCAAATATACAAATGTGATATATTAAATGGTTGTAAATTTTGTCCTCATTTCAATTTGAAGAAATTATGAACTTCAATGGGTAAAATGGCATATAAATTTAGTATGCTCGAGTAAATATTACACGATCTAATAGGCAAACAATGTAATACAACGAAGATTGATCAGTTTACAGAAGATGGCCCAGAAAGTAAAACCGCTGCTACGACTAGTTTTATCACATTCAAAAGTCATTCTTTTCAAACCGATTTTCCCCTTTCTGATCATGCTTTTGCTGTTAGACAATGATTGAAGTTTGAAATTAAGAAATTTTTTGCACACGTCACGCATTTCAAATTGAAACTTATAATTCTCGTATAAACAAGGCGTTTTATTCCACGCTATGTTTGACTGCGCAGTTAGTTAGGGTTGTGTTTGGATTTGCAATTAATTATAAACCATAATTAGTTGTTATTAATGTTTTTTCATCTATTTCAAAATTTGCAACAGAAGCTCTATTTTTGCCTACAGAAATATTCTTTTTCCTGTTCAGTCTTTTTCAGTCTAAGAAAAACGGATTTTTATTATTCGTAAATCAGTCAATTTCATACTCAGCATTTTACAAAAGGGAGAGAGATAGAGATAGAAAAAGGATACATGAACATGAATGAACAATTAGCAAATTTCATAATAGAAACTTTTATTGAAACTCAATATATTCCATAACCAATTGATTCATTAGTGATGGCTTCATTACCTTACCTTGTCAAAAAAAGAGAACTATCCAAAGAATTTAGTTAGAAATCTAGATTTCAGAGAGTAGCACTTAGAAGACAAATATTTTACTATCACTGCTATTATTCTTTTGCATATGCCACTTGATATCCAACCGACTGCTTGTGTACTATGAAAAAGAAAAGAAAATTAAAAACCACAGCACTATGTGAAACCATTTTTTTATCGACAATTTCAAGCTTTTTAACTTTGTCGCATACCGACAAGTTTATGCTTATACTTACCTTGCAATCACACATACCAACAACTTCACACTAGAACAAAACATACATTGATTTCATGCTTACCCTGCAATAAATAGCAATTTCATGCTTGTTTACTTTACAAAGCCCTTATTTACTTTAAAGTGATATAGATTCGCAGCATTCGTTATATACATTAATACTCGGCATTTTTTTCGTATATATAGATTTCTCCCAGCGTTTTTTTCTTAAGATTACTGCTAGATTTAAATTTTAAGTAAATTATTAAAAAGTTCCTTCTTTCGAAAGCAACTTGACAACCGAAGACAATCACCACCTTCTTATTATTCTTGACTTGCCATCAATGATGTAATATTTAATCTCAATACTCCTACTCATAACGATACGTGTTCAGGGAGAAAATCAATTAACCTTCTGAACTTGTTCGCATGGATGTTTGAAAGGATTCAGCTAAATACTGTTTAATTAATTAATTAAACGTGAATGATAGCACCTTCACTTGCTAAGACGTATGAACGCCCTTATCATTCGTATCTTTAACAGTCCAACTTATGATCGTAAGTACTGGAAGTAAAGGAAAGAAAATTTTCCGCAAATTTAAACGTCAAACTAGATGTAAATTTTAAAACGACAAATTCGATAAACTTTATTTCATCAACATCAGCACATTTTTTGTTGAAATAAAGTCTGCAACACATAATATTACTTATTACAACCAAAGCATAAGTAACCTATGTGAGTGCAACATTAAAAAGCGAAGGAAGAAAAAAGAGGAAAGCAGAAACAGTTTATATATTAACATGCAACATCATCATGAAGCATATGAAAAGCAAAATGTAAAGAAATGTAAAAAATAACAATGGGATAGGAGGTATATGTAAAGCTTACGGAACAAAACAGATATGAATGACTTTTCCTGAAAAAAGGAAGGAAAACAGAAACACTTTAGAACGAATATATATTTTAACAAACAACATCAAACACCAACTTTCTTTCTTTTTCCCATCGACTTATTTCAATCTAAAAAAAGCAACGAAACACATCATGAATGTTAGCAATGATGATAATCAAAAACCAAAATACTTTATAATAATCAAGTTTTATTTACGCGTAACACATAAAGTAACGATTAACACGCAGTTAATTCCTGTATTGTTAATCATTTATCATTTCTTTGATTCAATCATTCATCGTTTTTCAAAAAATTGTCCATATTGAATTTTTTGAATTTTTTCTGTAATTATGATTTCAAAAAAAAGAAAGAAAATTAAATCAAAGAAATCAATCATATGCCAGCTACTGTATATGAAGACAAATTTGAGAAGCTTGAAAGTGTAACAAAAAAAGGTTTCATAAACAATGCCATTTAATAGTCTCAGAAATATGTGTAGAAAGAGTTAATTTGGATGTAAGTACGACTTTAATTTAATTTTAATTTTGAGAATATCTTATAAATTACTTCCAAATTCACAAGAATTTTACTCATATATGAAGCTAACTCATATAGCATTTGCTATTTACCTTTCAAAATAAATCATTATTTACTAACTAATGATAGCACTGACCTTCCAGTTCCTAAAAATCATTTACAGTTTTCACTTCGGTTGATTTATAAATACACACACGTGAACGTGCAAACCGTGTTGACATGAGACTATAAAAATAGACACACAAGCCTTGACATAAGCCAAATTAACTATTAAAACAAAATTTAAATGAACGATGAAAGTAGAGAAGGGTGATATAAATGTGGAAGCGGAAAAAGTATAAATAAGGAACAAAAGTTCAAATTGATTTTACAGTTATAACAATGTGTAAATTTAAAGAAACTCTGAAATTTAAACACTTTACTTGAAGTTATTGAAGCATAACTTTCAAATAAATTAAAAAATTACATGTTTTTGCACTAATCTAATTCATTAATAATATTAAAAAAAACGTGATTTAACATCTTAGCTCCGTTTTATATTTAGGGATGTGTAATATATAAAATTTCTTTTTGACTGTACTTATCATATATGATGGTAGGCGTGCATAATAGATGTAATAAAAAAGGCACATTGGACAACATAGAAGTTAGTGCCAAAACAATCGATGCATCATCAAAACTTTCGCCAACTCAGTTATAAAAAGAAGGGTAAATTCGAAAAGTAAGCAAAATTTTCATGTTGCAAAACTCTAAAAAAATTTCGAAGTGAAAAATCAAAATACAACATTTTTTTATTCACATTTCCTCCTCCCCCTCATCTTCCTCCTCCTCTACAATGTGCGTAATTTCAGCTTCTCTAGTGAGATCAGAATGATTATCTAGCTCATTCTTCACCAGAATACCACCACTTCCCAAAACATCGTTTTCCAAGAGCGGTAACCCGGTGATTGATGATTGTCCCGATGATGCACCAGCAAATCTTTCCGTCTGCAAGATTATATGTAATTATCTTGTATTGGCAACTTTTAAATTTGGATAGAAGAATAAATTCTGAAGTGACAATTGATATAATAATAGCGATATACTCTAGAGTTAAGATCTAACTGTAAATTCACGTTGCATTATTACGAGCTAAATATCTCATAAATTCTTGAATAAGAATATTTAAAGCGAAAATTTCTAATATGTAACTGAAAAAAGTTACAATATATTCAAGCAATGTAATTCAACCTTTTTTGCATAAAATCGATTAGAAAATCTTAATCGAAAAGGAAAAAGCAATATAGCCGTATGAGTGATGCAAAAAGAAACACCTCATCATGTCCGTTTTCTTCAATGATAGCGTCATCGCCACTTGTATCACTGTCCACCGATTGATCACCATCATTTTCCATTACAAAGCGTTCCTGTGCATGATCCGCTTCACACAACATGGTATCGTCTACACCATAATCACCTCCTTCTGCATATGACTGTGCATCCTGTTCCGGCTCTAAACCTGAATGATGCCTGAGACTCAAAGAATTTTCTTTCGAAAATCTAGAAATTGGAATTTCTGATTGAAGTCGGAGAATTCGATCAGTACTTTCGAATTGCAGCTGGCTTTTTTCTGTTTATAAAATGTTAAGATATAGAGCAATAATATAGAGATACTGTTCGACTGACTAGTAGAAATAAATCTTTTTTTCATTGATAACTTTTTTGATCAACATATCATCACTACCTGCCTTTACCAATCTGTGTTTGAAAAGAAAAAAATCTAAGATAAAAAGTGAAATTAATTATCAATCACCTTCTTCTTGCCGTTCATCATCCGAATCTCCATCACCTGCTTCTCGGCCAAAATCTCTTTCGAGAGTTACATCAACGCTTTCTGGCTGGTCATCATCTGTGAACCCAAGGACATCGAAAAATCGCCCCGACGACAAACTTTGTTTCCTAGAAAAACCAAAAAACTTTGTAATAAGATCTGAACCGCATACAACTCTTGGTCCTTTCATGTGAATTTTTTTTGAAACAAAGTAATAGCTCATGCAATTTTTCGATATCAGCAGCGGTCGGTATTGGAGCATCGATAAAATAAGCTGGATAACATTCACGGATGATTTCCTTAATTTCAACGCGATATTTCCAGCGTTCATCAATTGGATGTTCTTGACTGCTGTGCACGTCACGAATATGTTTCACTACCAAATCACGAGATTGATTTCCCTGCAACATATAAATTTCAAGATTCCAACTCAAAATTATCTTAATAGCAGATCTTTAACTACTGATCTGAACCAGTTAATAAAAAAAAACTAATTTCGAACTACACCAACGATCTAACAACTGCTAAATGATGGAAAAGTACCCAATTTAAAAATATTATCTTTGTATAGCTTAATTTTTTCCCAATTCTTTTCTAACTTGCACTTTTTTATTAAAGAGGATATAGAATTTATTATCAACATCTACTTGGTAAGGTAGTAAAAACATTTTAACACAGAAGTTCCAGAAAAACCTACGATGTCACATTGTGGACAAAGAAACAGCTGCACATCCAGATGTTTGTATGCATGGTCACTTAATCTTGATGTTGTTAACAAACCGCATTTCTGCAACTGGTTTTTTAAATTTTTTAATAAAAGATTTCTACTTCGATCTTTAAAAATTTTAAATTTGAATTCCTTGCAGTGACAGATAACCTGGCAATGTGCAGCTTCGTTGAAGCGCTTTTTAAAATACTGCGCACCACCAAGCCGCATACTGATCTCACGTAACTTTGCCATTTCTTTGCGTTTCAATTTTGACGGAGGTTTGCGCACTCCAAACCGACGGTTTCTGGCTTTCCTCATACGATCACGGTATGATGACGAAGATGACGCCGAAACAAATGATCGCGGCATCGTCATAATTTCGGACTGATGTGGTGCCAACTGCGACGAATCGGTAATATGCAATGCTGAGGACGCTTTTGCGTCATATTCGTCCTAGAATGTTTCAAATGCGGAATTAATATCGGTGAATCAAAAAACTCACGACATCATTATTTTTTTTCTGAATCTACCGTAAAGAATGGTAGATTTTCAAACTTTCAGAAACTAAATTTACAGCTTTACACTTCCAAAATCAAATTTTTTGAATTCAAAAAAAGAAAGTGAATTCTCAGAACTGAAAATTCGTAAGTTCTGTACTTACTACACCATATGCTGTTGAATTCGTAATTTCTTCCGAAATCGTTGTTGCAGGAGTAGTATTAGCATTTGTCATAATTTCCGAAACCATTCCTTCATCGTTAACTGCTTGATCTGATAACTAAAAAAAAAAACATTAACCTTGATAATAATTAGACCGAAGACTGCATATAAATTGCTCCAAAAAAGAAAAATCTGATTTCTTCTAGAAAAAAAATGAATAGTTTAAAACCATTCATTTTTTAAAGCATTTCTGTGAGCAATGCCTTTTGCCGAACAAAAAAATTGTAAATTAATTCAACAATTTGCATAACATGGACAAATTTGCTACTAGCTTATCTCTTTTACCAATCTGATATGAAACTTGTACTGTGTTAATAAAATTGACCATATGTATTAATTAAAATATTAAAAAAATTTGCCTTGCATTGTACACGGCTATCATGCGATGATGTTGGTTGCAAACCGAAACACTGCTCAGTCATTGTCTTTACTTCATCTGAATATTCCTGAAATATTTTCATCGGTGCAATTTACTTCAAGACTATCTAAACACTGAACACATAAGTAAATAACAAATACAACAAATATAGATAACAGGAAACCTCAACATGATCTTCACAACAGTCCTCTGTACCATGTTCCCTTCTTCCGTGACTTACAACAGCCTGTTTTCGATCATGACCGAAATCACAAAATTTACATATATAACGATTAATCCCAAGATCTTTGGACATATGCCATAGGACATGGAAACCGCGTATCTGAAAAAGAAAACTTTTCAGGACAAATACTAACAAAAATTCAATAAAACAAACCTGAATAAAACTCAGTGTCGCAAGTCTAAAGATTTCTGATAGTTAAAAAAGTCAAAAATAGATAGACACATAGTATCGCAAAGATCAAACAAATCGAGATGCAAACTACAAAGTTTTGGTTGTTAATTTATCTCCTCGATCTTACTACACGTTAGATGGTACAAATCAATAGTTAAGAAGTTTATTAGGTAAGTTCAACAGAAAGAATCTTAATGATTATGCTCAAACAATCATTACGAAAATATGTTGCCAAAAACAATATTACCTTATTATGTAATAATTTATGACACTTTTGACAATGCAATTGTTGATCATCGGTTTGTTCTATTGACGATATTTCTCGTGATGTTGATGGAACAGATGGCAGAAGATGTTGCTGTTGCGATTGTTCCACAGTACTGCATCGATTTGCTTCTTCTATCGCAGCCATTCTTTGGGCATTAAGCGCAGCGGTTGCTACTGCAACTCGAGCTGTAGCAACAGCACGAGCTGCCGCAACGGCTAGCGCCTAAAATTTAATACATTTTCAAATCAACATTTTTAATGTTTATTCATCAGATACAACAAAACCAATCCACACCTGTCATTTTATTGTTCTATCTATAAAAAAAAGTTGAGATTTACTCTTTCCGCTGCTCTTTTCTTCCTCCTTGAATTTCTGGGATTTCGAGCTTGCGCTGCCATCATCTGATCATAAATCATTTGTGCACGTGCAGCTGTAGGACCAGGCTTATTACCCGTTGTTCCCAAAAGATCCAATGATACTTCCTACAAATTACAAAAGAAGCCATATTTGATATAAATTATCGCAGTAGGTTTTATAATTCTATATATTGAAAGAATGATGACAAATAGTATGTTCACAAAAAAATCGACCTGGGAAATTTTGAATAACTCAGCTGTTCGATCTTCAATTAACAATGGATTTATTGCACCATGTACTTTCGACTGATGATTTTCCATCTGATCTTTTCTATAGTGCTGCACTTGACAAGCCGGATACTTGCAACGGAAGCGGAAAAGCTATAAATTTGAGCGCTCATTAATGCATAATTGACGGTTAATCAATTATGTAAAGATCACATGCGTCACATTATTACAGTTTGCATTTCTAACCTGACGATCCTTTGCCATGTGATAAAAAATGTGCATTTGTCGTGCACCAGCGGTAATAAGCTGTTTACATTTACATATTCCCATCATACGTCTTTTTGCCAAGCTTAAAAGTGCTATAATTTAACTGAACAGTGATGAGAAATACTTTCGAATTTGTATTTTCAAGAATTAATAAAGTGAGTGAATCGAGTAATTCAATGATTTTTAAAGAAAACATTTTCGAATATAAGCAAGTGTGAAGAATCGATTAATGTAAATGAACCTGCTTTTGGTGGCTTTAGGTCGCTCATTTCTAGTGTTACAATCACTAGTATCACCATTGTCATGAATATTACTACTACCGCCACGATTCCGCCGTTTCCAAGGAATAGCTATATCACCAGCACTAAATATTTCGGCAACATTTCCCAGAATATCCGTTGCATCTTGGCCACCATCAACATCAATTGCTGTCGATGCAAGCAGTGCTTCATCGGATTGTTCAGCTGCTGCAAGATACAGCAAATTTGATTCCTAAAGGATGAATGAGGAGCATGATATTCATTGTGACAGACATCACGACAATGATAAAGACTGGTATAAAATAGAAAGTTCAACTTTTGGAAAGAGAAGGAATTTCCAAAAAATCTTTTTAATTAAAGGAAAAAACACTGATGAAGCCTGTTTACTCAGTTAAGACTTTTTAAAAAATGCTAACAAACTGCTATGTTCAGATAAACACTCCCTATTTTTAAAGTCAGCAAAAACAAATAGGAACAAAATAAGTGAATTTGATGATAATTATTCTATGCATGTCATTACCAACAAATCAATGGATCTCTAACGAATGTGATCATACTGCCACATGATAAAAAAGATATTTTACTGAATGGTTGACTAAAGCGTAAATGAATATAAAATAATATAAAAATTGACAATAATAGACAGGATTTATCGAGGAAAAAAGATTTACTTGATTCTTCCATCGCAACGTCAAATGCACTTTTAACATCACGTATTCCGCTTGTAATACTATTATTAAATTCATTATCCATTTCTCCTCCTACTCCAATTCCACCGTCTTCGGTACCAGATCCTTCCACACTTACTTCTTGTTCATCGGCATTTTCATTGGTTGCAACACGTATCGCTGATAACACAGCGTCAGTATTTGTATTCCAAGACATAGTATTATCGCTAATGAAAATAATTCATTATGAACGCGCGAAAGTTTCGAAAATAAGCAATTGGATTATTATAAATTATGCTCTGAACATGATATTCGTAAGCTAATGCTAAGTGCTACACCTGCAGACCAATCAGTTTATATTGGACAGTTCAATTTAAAATCGAAAGAATTGATAATTATGAAATAACTACCTTGCAGGTCGTTTTTTTGAAATAGCAGTAGCTGTAGCTCCAACAATTGCTGTTGGCGTAAACCCCGATCTTTGTAATTGCTGATTCATTGATATGTGGTCTCGGCCATTTGTCAATGTGTTGATATTACGCACAGAACTTTCAACTCCGGCTTCACATGTAGGAGATAAACTTGCCGTAGATCGTCTATCCTGAAATTCTTACAGTGAATACACAGAGAATATTCTATCTTAAAAATCTAGAATTTTTCTTAAAAATTTCAAAAAAAAATTTCCTTTCCCGAAAATCTTCCTATCATATTGATGCTAAAAACTGAGTGCATGAAGCAATTGTAAAAGTCATTATTTCTGAGCCAAAAGGAATACCCAGGCCGAATTATATGACTAAAACTGAATGCTTTATCCCCGCGCCTTCGAAGGATACTTAAACGCCATAATTTGATACCTTATGCTTTCATAGCTATAAAAAGGAATTAACCAAATCATTTGTATGAGTTATGAGCCTTTCTCTCACATTATTCACCGGGAAAGTGGAGGCATGAAAATGTGCTGGCGGCAATGTCGTTGCTGTTGTTACAGTCGGTGACGGCTGAGAATTGCTGACCAGTGGTGGTGGCTGCGCTCGGCGTGCATTCATCAAGCAACGATCCATCATCATTTGAAGCAGCCGTTTCGCAGTAGGGTTGTCATGATACGCATAAATATACTGCAACAAAACAACATACTGCTATTTTCATTGAAGTATAAATACTAATTCAAAGTAATTAAAACCTTTATCAATACTTCTGACTCTCTGCTATCATCAACACTCTTATAAAATAAGATTTTTCAGTGGTCTGAGTTCTGAAAATCTCGTCACTTTTGATTAATATGATGCCTTCTTAAAGCTATGCTTATTTATCACTCTCTTGAATACATCAATAATTTCTGGAGCTAAATATGCAAAGGTAACAAGTATAATTTTCAGAAGCAAAACAGGTTATTTAATGAAACTTTTCTTCTTATTTTTAGATATTCGAAACTAAAGATTACTGGATGATTCAAAATACTTCATGCTCATAATTTCTTTGAAGCAAATTTCGCGACATCCGCCCTTAAATTGTTTAGTTTAACCCATCCATCAGTTATCTCTGATAAGCAGCATTGATTATTGCACTGTAATAATAAAAGAGCCCCTACTTTGTGCTCATAATTTTTCCGATGTGTTGAGTGAATATGCTCGCGTAACTGAAAATCTGTCGATCTTTCCGCATAACATTCAGTACATTGAAAGGGACTCCAGTGCAAATGCTCAACTTTTATATGGACCTGGAAATTTTCAAAACTTCGACGATATCCTTTTTTCATTTGAAAAGAATTATTAAGAATTTTTGCTGCTTTTCTATCCATTCGAACACAATTTCTAACATGTTCATCTCCATTTAATGTCTAGTTAGCTGCCCTTTTTTCTACTTTTCCGGCACCTCTGCCACAATTTATTGATCCGGTAAATTACCTCCATTTCCTCACTGCTCATTTTACAGATGCCACATTCGGGACAGCGTAAATATACTGGTGGTAGCGGTGGCAAATTAAGCAAGTTTGGTAAATACATTGTTGATGCTCCTGGTCCTGGTCCGTAACCGTATGTATTTCCACCTAAAATTATTCTAATATTATAAGAAAGTTCCAACACTGAACAAGAAAATAAAAATTATAGAAGATAAAAAGATTTTTCGTCTGACTAGTGAGTTTTTTTAGATTTTCTTCGTTTTACAATCCCATAACAATTTACATATCTTTCCACTGATTCAGTAAGATTTCTAATATTTAAGGAAACTATATCTTTACTCCGACTTATTTATTTCGTTCAAATCTTTTCTTCCAGACATCACTCTAACGGTTCTTTTCAAATAAAATTTATGTATTTATTAGAAAATACTTCTGATGCTCAAAATTAATGAATTTAAAAGAGTTTTACTTATCGGAGATGGAAAATTGTCGGCTCCCGAAACATTCGGCCATAAATCCATTACATCATTATTAACTTGCTAGAATTTTTGGCAAAAATTCAATTTCAACAAGCATACATTAGTTAAAAAGAACAAAATGGCATGCTGATGTATGATCTTCTCCGGTAAATTTTTCATCTTTTTGAATTATCTCATCAGATGGATATGAAATCTTATGCTATACTACACAAATTCGTTTCCTTTAAATTTTTAAGTTCTTAGCTAACATCTAACATCATAAAATAGACTGGCAAACAACTTACAGGTGTTTGAAAAGCATGAGATGGAAAATTCCGCCCTATATACTGTTGCATGTCTTCCCGTGACCGTTGTTCCGCTCGTCCTGATCCATTTGATACACTTCCGGCTGAAAAAATAAAAAAACAATATGGAAATCTAAGAAGAAGTTTTTCATTTTGCCGAATAATTATCTAGCTATAATATGATAATAGCAAAAGTCAAAGACACACAGCAGGCATTACAATTTCCCATTAAAAAAAATTCTCTTTTATAGCGTAACTTCCAGAATGGCCCAAGTAACTGTGTCATAAGTGAACAGTGATATTGAAGCTTTCAACGAATCTCTGGAAAAATTTGCTTTCTGTCCTAGTAGTATTCAGAACTGTTTATATTGAACAAATATCCATATTAATAGGATATTTTATTAATTACTGATAGGTCCAAATGTCAAAGACATTGTTGTATATGAAAAACATTACTTGCAAAACAGACAAATACTATAAACAAAAAGGTATCATTAAGATAGCATGATTGAAAATCACAACGATGCAATCATTTCAAAGAAAGAACAGACAGATTTGAAATAGTTGTATGGTTAACTTTATGAGAGCCATCATCAAATCATAATACATAAAAAGAGTGGATGTGACGGTTTTTAATAACCTTGACCATAACAATTAACTGACTATCAATGATTTCGTATACTATTATTTTGTGCAATTCATTACAACTAATAATCTAGGATTAATAAAAAAACTAGGATTAATATTTAGAACTGGTTAAACATTCTCGGATTCAGTTAGAAATCGATCAGTTGAAAATATATATCAAAGGTAATTAATTACCTTGGGTAGAAAGCATTAAACGGTGCATGATACTATCCCGAACATTTGATGGCAAAGATGAAGTACCACCACGTTGCGCTGGCGCCGGTGCTCCACTGCGAATCATCTTTTTGTCCTAATTTTCTCACTATCAATCGAGTCCTAAATAGCCAACTGATTCACCAAACTATCAGCTCGAAGCAGAAAATAAGAAAATTAAAATTATAAATGAACTTTTTCAACTTGTATTTATAAATTGCAATGAAATGTTGCGCTAAATTAACTTGCTAATTAACAAATGCAAAAGAAAACAAAGATGTTTTCTTTCACATTCGTGATTTAACAAAATTTGCCTATTTTATCACTAATCAATAACAGCAATAACATAGCTACCACTAAAATATTGTTAGGATAACGTGAATGAACGGATGTAACACACTGTCTATTTGATTAGTACACCTACTCAGTAAATGCCGATAAATAAAAAAGATAAATAGAATGTTGAGGTAAGAATTCAATCATAATCATTTCATTATAAAGATAAATATTAGGTGAGGAACTCTGCTTGATTAACTTTACTTTTGACCCAACCAACAATAATAACGACTCGAGGTATCAGGCTTCGTTTTAGTTTCTTCTTCCGCCTTCTAGCTCTTTTCAACTCTTGCCCTTACTTCTATAACTTCTCTCTTAGCACATTTCATTTTCTCTCTTACAGAGTCCAGGTTACAGGTCCTCCCTTTGGGGTTTTGCCACCAACAATTCACTCGGACCGTGTAACCGACAGTAATATTATATCATAGCGGTTGAGAGTGAAGACTTCCAGTGGTTGAGTGGTGGTGGTGGTGGTGGTGAATTTCACTACGGATGGATTTGCCATATTGAGAGAGAAGCCAGCTAAAGTGTCAAATTGAGTGCAGAGAGAAAGTTATATTCGATCTCCGATTCAAATTGTGATTCATCAGGTGTAAAGAGAGAGGAAGAACTTGTTCCTATAAACTAAATTTGCTTATCTCAACACTGCTTTTGGTAAGAGAGAAATAGGATCTGTTATGAGTCGTTCAGGACGCTGAAGAATTCCCGAAAGGATTGGGCCAGTGGAATTCTTGATCGCTTGATGTCAAGAGTCTCGATGCAGGAAGTTCCGTGGAAAGACTACGAAAGACAAGGGCGCCGAGAAGTTTCTGTAACAAAGAGCAACATTACCTACAAGGTGGACGAGACAAGAAGAGGGAAAGAGCAGAGCAAGTCTGTCGTTTCAGTTCTTCTATGCCAACTGGAAAGAAGGAAATTGCGAAAGAGAGCTAAGCTGAGAGAGGCGCTTCACTGTAGGATATTTTGTGATACGGAACTGGAAGGATTAGAAGGATCGAGGGAAAGTGCAGAAATGGAACAATGATGGAAAAGATGGGTGGCAAGAACTCCAATCGGATTAGGGCCAAGGGAGTAAAGATTCAGGAATTGAAAAAGAAGAAAGTGAAAGATTAAAGTTGGATAATGGAGAGGAAAATGATGCTGAGAAGGGTTCGTTGAAATGAAATGGATGATTGCGATGGCCAAGAATTGCAGTGAAGGAACACATCAGGAGAAAAAGATACGGAAGGGATAAAATTCATTGGCCTGGCGATGAGGCTTCGGAAGAAGATGGGTGATCAGAGGTGATAAGCGATATTAGCTGTGGGGAATGAATATGTTAAAAGTGAGAGATGCGAATTTCGAAGGGAGGATTCGTGCGAATGGTTGGTTATTAAAGTGAGGGAAGCGCTGCAAGGAGAATGTCAGATGGGAGGAAGGAATGACAACAACAGAAACTGAAGGTTATAGAAGCCGCGAAACAACGGCTGGTAACTGCCGCCGTCTGAGAGGTATGAAGGAAGTGTGACTCAACGCAAACAGAGCAAAATGCTTCGGAATAATCAACAACAATTTCACTCCTACAAATCTTCCTGAAGGTGCACATAGTGCATAAAGCACATCGGGACACGTAAACAGAAACCATCACATATTTTGTACAGCAAAATGGTTGGATTAACGCAATGAGAAGTCGACATTTCAATTTTGACAATTATTGATTTTTGAAACCAATGAAACGAATTTAGAAATTCAAAAACTTGTCAACAGTAACACTGAATGAAATTATTTCAAAATAAATTCTAGCTGTAGGATACAATAATTCATTGGAACGAAACTTTGATTCATATTATATTACTTTTTAAATGTCATCTAATAATTTTGACATTGTTAACACCATTTAATATTTCAATTTAACAAAGCGAAGAAAAAGAAAAATGGGGAAGAAATGTTCAAATGTAATTCAATTATATTTTCGTTAAATTAATCACATGATATAAAGGGAGTAAATTAAATATTGCAACGAAACTTCAAAAAAAGGAGCATTCAGGAAGAAAGGAAGAAAGAATGAAATGGGAGGAAGTAAGAGAACTGGAAGAAGAAGGAAGGGTAAAAGGTAGTACTGAAGGACTAAATGTATAAAAATGAGATTTCTTGAGTTAACCGAATATTCACCTCTACAAGAAGGGCCAACAAAAGAAGAGGAAGAGGAAGAGGAAGAGGAGAAGAAGAGGAAGGAGCAGAATAGGAAGAAGGAAGGAACAGCGAGGCAGTATTAATAATATAACAGCTGACATCGGTGGACTTTCAGGAACGATAAGACGACTTCTTTCCCTCCTTTTGCAAATTCCAGCAAACAGAGAAAGCCAACTAGCCGACAGCCAACTAGCGGAGCCTTCGCACAACTCTCGACTTCATCCGAGTTCTTTGAATGATGAGAGCAGGAAAAATAGAACTCTTCAAATCCAACATCCTTCACTTCCACCACTACTATAACTTTTCAAAGATCCGGAAAGTTTCATCATCCGCTCGAAATGTAACAAAACCTCTCTCGATATCAGTATATCACGACTAACACAGTTGTATTGTGATGGATGGGACTGGTAGGTTGTCATGGATGTTGGATGTGGCCATGTGCGTTGAGGAGCGTGGAGTTCGAGGATGGAAGTGTCGTTTGCAACCTTTTGCATCATTTTCAGTTCCTTTCATTTTGGAGAAACTTTCTTGATTGTTTATTCCATTACCATCCTTCACAAAATCATCAACTGATCGGCCAGATATTTCTGCACATTTATGTCATTTTGAGAGAGAGAATAGTAAACAAAAAAAGGTATTGTTATAAAAGTAAAAATTGACATCATTCTAACTGATGGTATATGCAAAAGGTAAAAAACAAAACATAATAAGTTATGCTGTGATGTTGAAAAAAGTATAATTCGTCCATTCAATATCTTATCATCGGTGATTACTTAATTCACTATTAACATGTATTAGTACGCATTAGTATATCATTATGATAAGGTTAAACACTACAGAGATATTTTTCTTAAGCAAATATGCCATTCATTTCAAAAAGTTTTAGTGCTTGAAAAAAGAAATTCCGAATTATTACTTCCAATGGAAGTGTGGAAACCACCAAGCACGGTTTACAAATTTGCATAAATCTAAATTTAGTGCGAAACTGATCCATTAATCATAATAATCAGCCAAGAAATAATTAGTTATTTCTCAATTAAAACGAAGAAACCTAAAAGCAAAGATAAAGTAAGGAACAGTAGAAATAATGAAGGAAGATTCTAGAACTTTTCCAAAACAGCACGTTCATGAAGTGATGATTCTTAACTGTAATTGGGAATGCAAGAATGCTGCGGAGAGAAAAGGATTCTTATATAGGATTTGCAAATGGAAGTGCATAGATGAACTATGTTGAAGCAGAAAATGAAGTAATAAAGAAGATTCATGCTTCTTTATATCCCGAGACAGAAGAAGAGCAATGAAAGTGGTTCCTTCGAGTTCATGACCTGTGAATGTTAGGAGCAGATGAGGAAAGAAGGAATGGAAGTTTGAGAGGTATGGCATAGAACTGAGTGCTGTTGAAGATAGGAAGGGGTAGATGGATGGATGGATGGATGGATGGATGGATGGATGGATGGATGGATGGATGGATGCCGAGAGGGCAGTGTGAGGGGCGAGAAGGCTACTGATGCTGAAAGACGAAGGAAAGCACGCACCGCACCGCCGTCCCACAAACTATCATCAGCACATCTAATCTATCTCTTTCTTCCGTCACAGCACCCGAGGTTAGAAGGAAGAATGGAAAGCAAAGCTTGCAACATACTGCAATTATACAGGAGAGTCTCGTCCGTAGCAGTTGAATGGGGTTGACGAGGATGACAACGACGACGACGACGACGACGACAATAACGATAAGGACAGGACTATCCATCGAAGAGAGAGGACCTTCATTCTTCCCTTCTTCCTCCCTTTCCTCACCATCATTACCTCGCACCGCACCCCAAGCATTCATCTAACATAATGGTGCTCTTCCATCCACCCCTTCCTTCTACTTCATGTCTTCTAGGATAGCTGCTAATACTAATATTGCTTCTTTGTTGCTTGCTATACTCAAGGTATAATTCATGAAGGAAACATTGAGGGGAAATTTCTACAAGTGCAACATCCCACCAATAAAAATACAAAATGCAAGAAAGAGAAGTGGACAGAGAGAAAGTCCAAGAATGAGGAAGTCGTATTCATTGTCGTTGTATACATGCACATATCCATTTTGGATGTTAACCTTATCATCCATACATAAACAAAGTATTGCTACTAAATCTCTCATATCACAGTTATGTAAATTTAAATAAATAACCGGTTGAAATGTATATTAGATATGTAAAATGATGAATTAATGTGAATTCAAATGAAAAGGAAACAAAAGAGGGTCAGTTGTACAGTCAGCGATTGAATAAACTGGATATCGATCAGATATTAAATATCTTGCGACCATAATTATCTTAATGTTTTGAAAAGCGCTAAATTTATATCTTTAAACAATAGCGAAGTTAATAATCACTAGTGTCTTAATAACTAATCAGTTAGCATGCTAATTAGTATCATTCGCATCTTTTCTATACGTGTGATTCAATGATTACAAAAGGTTACAAAGATTATTAATTGAAAAGAAATCCCGAAGAAATGAATGGCGTTTTTTGTGTGCACAAATATATTTTTCTCGGGATTTTAATAAAAACCGTTGTTGATTGCGATCTGTCAATAAAGAAAATGATCAGAATATTAAACATTGTTGGACGGGATATATGGGTAAACTTTCATAATTTTACACTGCAAAGAATGTTCTCGTAGAAAGTACTAGCACCGGTACTTCTGTTTTGAAAAAAGCAACAATCATTACAATACTTTTATTTATTGTAGGAATTAAAAAGAAAAAAGGACAGTACATGCTAAGAATTACATGCATTGCTGTTACAAAAATCCAAAAGCGTCTCTTTCACTTTATTTTCCCTCATTCGATGGAGAAGGAGAAGTAATTCATACAGCTAAACATCAAAGATTGTTTTTTGGCTGACTTCTGATGGATTGGAAAATAGCAGCAGAAAGGGAAGGTATTATTATATTGGCGTGAAATCGATAGTAACACAACCGCCACCACCAAACAACAATGCAGCATAGCATCAACGAGCACCGTTATTCCGATGCCTTTCGTCTGCCATCTTCATCAATCCAAACTTGTGTCATCCCCATCGTCGTCGTCTCGTCATCAACGTTGTTGTCATCAACCAACATTACCAATGCCGTCGCTGTCCATCGACAGAAGATAACAGCAACAGCGACACAGTTCAGTTCAACGACGACAGACGGAGAACAACCCACCACAATCATCGATGACAACTGTGACACTGTCCCATGCCATCAGATGCCAATCTTCCCTTTCTCTCCTCCATACTTTTCTGCGAGTAGCACATCTTCGTTGATTGTTGTTGTTTGTTGTTGTCTCACACTTATCGAACCATTCATTCTCTTTCTACCGTCCATAATGGAGCAGCAGAAAGTGGAAGAATGACCATTGAACAATGATGAAAACGAATGGAACGATTTTTTTAGTCAGCCAGAAAGTCCTGAGATTTGTCGAAAGAAGGGAAAGGAATCTGAAGGAGTCGTTCCTAAATACGAGTAAATTCCTATTCCAAACACATCTGCATCAAATACTCACAGACCTTCACCATATGGTACTGTCAAAAAGATCTCTTCTTTTCCCGGAACATAAATTCTCAAGCGCGGTCCTCGAGATTCTTCTAACTTCCTTTCTCCTCCTATCCTCTCCAACTCTCTCCACCATTCCTTTCATCTTTGCCGAGACGTACTGTTCTGACAGCTCATCAGAAGGCAACTTGTTTGATGAAATCGATTGACTTTTATATGTTACATGAAAATGAAAAAGGGAGGTATTGCTAATCATTCGTTTGATTGAACTTGACCCGGCACGAAATAAGGAAAGTTTGTTTTCTGAATTCAGTATGATGAACATCAAATATTTCATTCTAGTAGAATAAGGAAATGAAAAATGCTACAGGTAAGAATATCTGCTTCTCAAATGACTTCCCACTAAATAAGCATGGTGCACTACCTAAACTGTCATCAGAAATCATGTCATTTTATTAAAGTTTCCGCAAAATAGCAATGTGTTTTTAAACTGTCCTGAAAACAGCGAAGCATAAATTTCGATCAGTTTCTGAAAAAATTCAGAAGCGAAAGAGAAAAAAGCGTATTTTTCAAATTCTCCGTTTAGTTATCATCATTTTTTTGTTGTGCAAATTATTGTATTTTCTGGTTCATCCAGGAAACACTCCGCATCTTAAACGACAGCCAGCATTTTAGTGATTATGACTGTACAAGTGATGTTCTATTAATTAAAATTCATTTGAATCATTTGATGAACTTGTCACGTTGACTGTTAGCTTTATTTCATATTTTGGCACATTTTCGAATGTTCGACAAGACTGTATCTTCCATTTTTGTACCCAAGCAACGGATCGATTCTTAAATTTCTACTTTTTTTTTCATATTCTTGGCCAAGGTCATAGATTTCTCGAAATTTTCTCAAATGCATCAAAATAAAAATTGAATTAATTGTATTCTGTAATATGCATACCTGTTTAATAAACCATTCTACCAGCTGAAAGCGAACAAAAAAATGAAAAGCCAAAAAATATCAAGAAAGGAAAATTTTAGATTTATATAATGGTTTTAGGGGACATATCCCCCATAAACCGTTAATTAAAGGGCAAAAGTTTAATGAATCTCAATGATGCGATCTTTTAATTCTTATATGTAGCATGATTTCTTTTTGAAAGCTCCATAAAATTTAAAAATGAAAACATTATCATTCTTTTGTTTTCCGTTATTTCTTCTCTTCCTGTCTTCATCTTCCTCACGAAACTCAAAAATGATAACGATATCTTTCGCTTTGTTTCCATGGACTAAAGACAATTATATTTCGTGCCGAAATGACATTATTAGTCCTCATAGATTACAAACTTTGTATAAATTATGATTTGTGAGATTACAGGTAACTTCCTGAGATTAGTCTGACTTCTTTGGATTAGACATCACTTCTCAGGTGAGAAAATATATTATGATTTATATGGACAAGTTTTGCAAAGAAGTTATCGCTTGCATAAGTTTTTATTCATTTTTTGAAATAGAATTGTAAATTTTTAAATGAACAGTGTTGATATATATTTGAAAGTCAAAGTTAGTGTGAATTTCATTTTGTGCTGGAAGTGTTTAATTATCATACGTCAAAAACATGTCTAACAATTTTATGATAAATTTAGTAAGATAATTTCGACGGAGAGATATCTTTCATTATGTTTAAATTCCATTGAAAAAAGTATGAAAAAGATTTGATACATGTTATCGAAATCATAGATCGTGCATTAATTATTTTTACTCTTCCATGGCTTTCAATGAAAAGGACAAATGAAAGGCAAATATTATAACATTTGATAGTATTAATGAAGAAAAAAGACATCATTTCTAGAAAGCAAATGAAGAAAAAAGCAGTGATTATTTAATAAAAAATAGGTAAACAAAGTTAAAAACTGAATCAAGTAGATTAGCATTTATTTGGCTATGTAATGACAAACTAAAATTTTCAGGAATTTGTGAGAAAAAAGTTTTCTTGTTTCATTTAAAATAAGTACTTATTTTAAATGAAACAAGCGTGACTCTCGATAAAATATAAGAGTAAAAAATAGAAAATAGACTGGTTTGTTGATTGAGCTTCACCTATACTCAGTGAAATTTCGATCCACGTATGCTGCTCACAAAATTCGGCAAGTTCTTTTTAATTACTTTATATGTGTACTATTATAATTCACAGACAAAATGAAAGTTTTTTTTTCCGTTTTGAATAGAAATCAAATATATCAATATAAGCATATGAATACATGTAATGTTCAATGATTATAAGCATCAGTAGATTTAACAATAATAATTGAAATTATGAAATAGTGATTCTAAATTTAACCAAAGAATCACTATGCAATTTGGTTATAAATAATGCACGTTGAAGAAAAATATTTGAGCAAATAACACTAAAATTACAAAATATTGTATAATAAAATAATTTTCTAATAATTATTGTCCATTGATTCTTTTTTTGGATATAAAAAATGATTTGGCAAAAAAGAAATCAAAATATATTTTGTTTGAGTGACAGTAAAAAGAACGATTGGAGACGGTCGACAATAGAGCCTTTATTTTCTGTTTACACATCCAACATCTCCGTCTGTTGAATTAGCATTACATATATGTGTGTACATGATAGCAACAGTTAGCAGAGTTATAAAGCTATGTCAACTTCACGATCACAGTTAGCGGTTAGCGCACTCGGTCGCGAAAATAACCGATCTATCGAGGCAATGTGCATACGTTACTATCATAGTGTTAGCAAATCGCCAATATCCTTCATGAAATGTTATGAAATTGAAAGATTCTGAAGCATTGATAATACGTGTAATAACCGATAGTACATGCGGTGATCGATAATACGTGAAATAGGAGTAATAATTGACGTTAACAGATGTAAGAAATACTGCACGCTGTGGGATATTATTGTTACGATGATAAATTAAAAGGGAAATTATTTTGCACAAATAAAAGAAACAAATTAATAAGATTGATTAGCGAGTTTGAGAAGGAAAATAGCAAGCTTAGAAAAAGGCTAATTAGGAGTGTAGAAGAAAGAAGGCAAAAAAATTGCTTCTGATTAGAAACTTCAACGTCACGGCAATTTTCGAATTTCAATAATGGTTTTTCTCGTGTTTTTTCCGTCCGTATCTTTATAGTTAGGATGTTAAACAAATAAACTGGGAGAGAAATTGTTGGCTGCCTGCAAGAGGATAGTTTTCAAAATAGGACTGGTAAATTCCGAAGATGAATATACAACAAAAAAAGAAAGAAAGAAAAAGAACAGGAGGGATAAGAGAGGAGCGACGGGAATGGCCAGTTAAATCATTTAACATATGCGCACAAGCAGAAATCTAATTTATATACTACATTTCGCAATTTTATTCAATTTTTTCCCGTAGTCGCAGATAGTAGTGATATGTTCTTTGTAAACTGAAGAAAATAAGCCCTTGATTGATCTCGCAATTTTGTTTATTTTCATTTCCTTGTTTCATTCCTAAAATTTCATTCCAATCAAAGATTAAACAAGCGAATGACAACCAATGCAATTTCAGGCTTCCTCTTTTATTGAACCATTAATTGGTCCTTCAACTTACTTGTTATGTAACTAAAAACTTTCGTTTATCAATTCGAGGATTATTCATATCTAAAGAATTTATAAAATGAGAAAATAAGTGAATACATTAAAATTTTTTCTTTATTGATGTAATTTAACTGAAAATTTCTGTTCATTTGAATGTTCCTTTTCTTTGCTAATTATATAACTTCAAAATCAAGATTGGTATTTAATTCTTTTCCGAATCATAACTTTTGTAACTTGCAAAAATTGAATAATTTCATGCTTACTGAATGCATGAATTAGTAAATTTTTTTTTAAACAAAATTTTTCTGACTTGCATCATTCATCCAAGCATAAAATTATTCGGAATTGAATTTATGGATTTTATTTCTTTTATCAAAAAAGAGTGATGCTTTTCAGTGGTGGAAGAAAAAAAGTAAAACGATAAAAAGAGTAAAATTTCAATGTCATACCAAATAAATTGCTCTCGCTAATACTCCAAAATTTCTTTTATTTTCTTCCAGCAACTTCCTGAGTTTGGAAAATCCATTTTTCCACCTTCTAAGTCCTTTCACTTCGATTACTCGTAATGATTCTGCTTCGCAGCTGTTGTATAGAATTTTCATCTTCATCGCACACACAATCTGAGTCAATTTCAAAAAAATCTAGGATTCTTTATTTTATTTAATTCAAGGATCATCTTAAATCTATCAGTGATCACTACAACTGATACTATATATATTGTATTATCAACAGTGACAGAAAACAGATAGTAATAGATAGATTAAAAGTCATTTTCTGTTCTGTAGAAATAGACGATGATATTTTACGCAGTTCTTGTCACTATTTCATCATCTTACATCGTTATATTTTATGGTAATTGGTTATGAACAGATATTACTGGACGGCAATCATACCATACTTTATGTCAAATTAGTTATTTCTCTTTTTTTCTCTCTTCAAATTATATGCGGATTGCAAATAAGCATCATTTGAATTGTGTTGAAATTAATGCAACAAGTGATAATTATCTGTTTCGAATAAAGTTGGTAATATACAGTAAATTTAGTATACAAGTTAATAAATTATAGCAAAAGAAACTTTTTAAAAAAGTGGAAAGCAAAAAAAAAGTTTAAAAAGAAATTTGGAGGGAGAAAAAAGAGAAAAAAACATTGTTTTATTATTAATGAACTTCACTGGGAATTGGATAAAAAATAAAAGCTTTCTTCTAAATGTTTGATCTTTGCATGCAGTGTACTATTTTCTCCTTTTAACAATATAAGTTGGAATATTTTGAGATGGTCATTGGTTGGTTAACGCCTCTAAATTATTCATCAAATATATTTCTTGTTAATTTGTCATTGCTACTAACTATTTTGATTAAATTAAATGCTTAAATTATAAATAGCACTTAAAATAACTATTTTGGAAGATTTTCTATTTCATGGCTTTAATTTTTTTAATTTATAATTT